CCATAAAACAACTGCCCGCTCCCGAACGTATTACACCAACTGAAGTAGAAGAAGTCAAAGAGCAAGTGACAGTTACTGAAGAAATTACGAGAGAAGGTAAACCCAAGAAAATCATTAAGAAAAAGGTTATCAAACGTAAAGGTCAGGAACAAAAAGTAACTGAGACAGTTACTATTGAGGAAGCAGGAAAAGCACCTGTAACGACGGTGACTGAAGGACCAGTAGAAGAAATAGTAGAAGAAGTGATAAAACCGGAAGTTATTAGACCAAAAGATGTAGAAGAGGTAACTGAACAAGTCACAGTCGCCGAAGAATTAACCAAAGAAGGTAAACCAAAGAAAACTACAAAGAAAAGGATCATCAAACGTAAGGGAAAAGAACAGCAGGTCACTGACGTGGTTACAGTTGAAGAGAAAGGAAAACCTCCTATCACTACAGTAAAGGAAGGCCCAGTAGAAGAGATAGTGGACGAAACAATTAAACCTCTTCCAGCAGCAGAATACGCAAAACCAGGTGAAGTCGAGGAAGTTCATGAACAAGTCACAGTTATCCAAGAAGTCAGTAGATCGGGCAAACCAAAGAAAACTATTAAAAAGAAAGTCATCAAACGCAAAGGTCCAGAACAACAAGTTACTGAAATTGTGACTGTTGAAGAAGAAGGAAAAGCACCAGTGACAACAATTACCGAGGGACCAGTTGAAAAAATAGTAGAGACTTTCACTAAACCATTGCCTGCCCCACAACGTATTGAACCAACCGAAGTTGAAGAAGTACGTGAGCAAGTAACAGTTACTGAGGAAGTAACTAGAGAAGGTAAGCCGAAGAAGACCACAAAGAAGAAGATCATTAAAAGAAAAGGTCAAGATCAGAAAGTAACTGAGATAGTAACTGTTGAAGAACAAGGCAAAACTCCAGTCATAACTGTAAAGGAAGGACCAGTAGAAGAAGTTCTAGAAGAAACAATAAAAACATTGCCTGCTCCAGAAAAAGTAAGACCAACTGAAGTTGAGGAAATTAGAGAACAAGTGACTGTCACTGAAGAGATAACTAAGGAGGGAAAACCTAAAAAGACTACCAAAAAGAAAATAATCAAACGAAAAGGAAAAGAACAACAAGTGACTGAGATGGTAACCGTTGAAGAACAAGGAAAAAGACCCGTTACAACGGTGACTGAAGGACCTGTGGAGGAAGTTGTAGAGGAAGTTATAAAGCCGCTGGCTCTTCCAGAGTATATCACACCAACTGAGGTGGAAGAGATACGTGAGCAGGTCACTGTCACTGAAGAAGTAACTAAAGAAGGCAAACCTAAAAAGACCACCAAAAAGAAGATAATTAAACGAAAAGGAAAAGAACAACAAGTAACTGAGATGGTAACCGTTGAAGAACAAGGAAAAAGACCCGTTACAACGGTGACTGAAGGACCTGTGGAGGAAGTTGTAGAGGAAGTTATAAAGCCGCTGGCTCTTCCAGAGTATATCACACCAACTGAGGTGGAAGAGATACGTGAGCAGGTCACTGTCACTGAAGAAGTAACTAAAGAAGGCAAACCTAAAAAGACCACCAAAAAGAAGATAATTAAACGAAAAGGAAAAGAACAACAAGTGACTGAGATGGTAACCGTTGAAGAACAAGGAAAAAGACCCGTTACAACGGTGACTGAAGGTCCTGTGGAGGAAGTTGTAGAGGAAGTTATAAAGCCGCTGGCTCTTCCAGAGTATATCACACCAACTGAGGTGGAAGAGATACGTGAGCAGGTCACTGTCACTGAAGAAGTAACTAAAGAAGGCAAACCTAAAAAGACCACCAAAAAGAAGATAATTAAACGAAAAGGAAAAGAACAACAAGTGACTGAGATGGTAACCGTTGAAGAACAAGGAAAAAGACCCGTTACAACGGTGACTGAAGGTCCTGTGGAGGAAGTTGTAGAGGAAGTTATAAAGCCGCTGGCTCTTCCAGAGTATATCACACCAACTGAGGTGGAAGAGATACGTGAGCAGGTCACTGTCACTGAAGAAGTAACTAAAGAAGGCAAACCTAAAAAGACCACCAAAAAGAAGATAATTAAACGAAAAGGAAAAGAACAACAAGTGACTGAGATGGTAACCGTTGAAGAACAAGGAAAAAGACCCGTTACAACGGTGACTGAAGGTCCTGTGGAGGAAGTTGTAGAGGAAGTTATAAAGCCGCTGGCTCTTCCAGAGTATATCACACCAACTGAGGTGGAAGAGATACGTGAGCAGGTCACTGTCACTGAAGAAGTAACTAAAGAAGGCAAACCTAAAAAGACCACCAAAAAGAAGATAATTAAACGAAAAGGAAAAGAACAACAAGTGACTGAGATGGTAACCGTTGAAGAACAAGGAAAGAGACCAGTTACGACTGTAACTGAAGGTCCAACAGAAGAAGTTGTAGAAGAAATAATAAAAGAATTGCCAGTTCCAGAAGGAGTAAAACCAACTGAAGTTGAGGAGATCAGAGAACAAGTGACTGTCACTGAAGAGGTAACTAAAGAAGGCAAACCTAAAAAGACTACCAAAAAGAAGATAATCAAACGAAAAGGAAAAGAACAACAAGTGACTGAGATGGTAACCGTTGAAGAACAAGGAAAGAGACCAGTTACGACTGTAACTGAAGGTCCAACAGAAGAAGTTGTAGAAGAAATAATAAAAGAATTGCCAGTTCCAGAAGGAGTAAAACCAACTGAAGTTGAGGAGATCAGAGAACAAGTGACTGTCACTGAAGAGGTAACTAAAGAAGGCAAACCTAAAAAGACTACCAAAAAGAAGATAATCAAACGAAAAGGAAAAGAACAACAAGTGACTGAGATGGTAACCGTTGAAGAACAAGGAAAAAGACCCGTTACAACGGTGACTGAAGGTCCTGTGGAGGAAGTTGTAGAGGAAGTTATAAAGCCGCTGGCTCTTCCAGAGTATATCACACCAACTGAGGTGGAAGAGATACGTGAGCAGGTCACTGTCACTGAAGAAGTAACTAAAGAAGGCAAACCTAAAAAGACCACCAAAAAGAAGATAATTAAACGAAAAGGAAAAGAACAACAAGTAACTGAGATGGTAACCGTTGAAGAACAAGGAAAAAGACCCGTTACAACGGTGACTGAAGGTCCTGTGGAGGAAGTTGTAGAGGAAGTTATAAAGCCACTGGCTCTTCCAGAGTATATCACACCAACTGAGGTGGAAGAGATACGTGAGCAGGTCACTGTCACTGAAGAAGTAACTAAAGAAGGCAAGCCTAAAAAGACCACCAAAAAGAAGATAATCAAACGAAAGGGAAAAGAACAGCAAGTGACTGAGATGGTAACCGTTGAAGAACAAGGAAAGAGACCAGTTACGACTGTAACTGAAGGTCCAACAGAAGTAGTTGTAGAAGAACAAATAAAACTACTTCCAACCGCAGAATTTGTGAGACCATCTGATGTAGAAGAAGTACGTGAACAAATAACCGTCACAGAAGAAATAACTAAAGAAGGCAAGCCAAAGAAAGTCACCAAAAAGAAAATCACCAAACGTAAAGGCAAAAAACAACAAGTTACGGAGGTCGTCACTGTTGAAGAAGAAGGTAAGCCGCCAGTAAGAACAGTTACTGACGGTCTGACAGAGGAACTTATAGAAGAAATAATAAAACCACTGCCTGCACCGGAGAAAATCCATCCATCTGAAGTAGAAGAGATACGTGAACAAGTGACTGTGGCAGAAGAAATGACAAGGGAAGGCAAACCTAGAAAGGTAACTAAGAAAAAGATTGTCAAGCGCAAAGGGAAGGAACAACAAGTCACAGAACTTGTCACTGTCGAAGAGCAAGGAAAAGCACCAGTTACTACAATTACTGAAGGTCCACTGGAGGAAGTACTAGAAGATACACTAAAAGTACTTCCTGCTCCTGAACGCGCAAAATCGGGAGAAATTGAAGAGGTACGTGAACAAGTAACAGTCACAGAAGAAGTAACCACAGAAGGCAAGCCTAAAAAGATTACCAAGAAGAAGGTTATTAAACGTAAAGGCAAAGAACAACAGGTGACTGAAGTGGTAACAGTTGAAGTAAAAGGTAAACGACCTGTTACAACCGTAACCGAGGGTCCTGTAGAAGAAGTAGTGGAGGAATTTGTAAAACCTCTGCCCATAATTCAACGCGTCGAACCATCTGAAGTGGAAGAGATTCGAGAAGAAGTAACAGTCACTCAAGAAGTGACTAATGAGGGTAAACCAAAGAAGACAACCAAAAAGAAAATAATCAAACGTAAGGGCAAAGATCAACAGGTAACGGAGGTTGTCACTGTTGAAGAACAGGGTAAGAGACCTGTTAAAACTGTCTCTGAAGGACCTGTTGAAGAAGTGGTTGAAGAGACACTGAAAGCTCTTCCAGCACCGGAGTACGCTAAACCTGGAGAAGAAGAAGAAATACGCGAACAGGTAACCGTTACAGAAGAAGTAACGGAAGAAGGCAAACCTAAAAAGGTAACTAAAAAGAAGGTAGTAAAACGCAAAGGAAAAGAGCAACAAGTCACAGAAGTTACAACAGTCGAAGAACAAGGCAAGGCTCCTGTTACGACTGTAATTGAAGGGCCCACTGAAGAATTGGTCGAGGAAATAATAAAACCATTGCCAACTCCAGAAAAAATTAAACCATTTGAAGAAGAAGAAATCCGTGAACAAGTAACTATTACGGAAGAAGTCACTAAAGAAGGTAAACCTAGGAGAGTTACCAAGAAGAAAGTTATTAAACGCAAAGGAAGAGAACAGCAAGTCTCTGACATTGTCACAGTTGAAGAACAAGGCAAGGCACCAATTACAACTATCACTGATGGTCCTACAGAAGAAATACTAGAAGAATCCATAAAAGCATTACCAGCTCCCGAATATGCCAAACCAGATGAAGTCGAAGAGGTTCGTGAACAAGTAACAGTTACTCAAGAAGTAACCAAAGAAGGTAAACCAAAGAAAACTACCAAGAAAAAGGTTATCAAGCGCAAAGGCAAAGTACAACAAGTTACAGAAGTTACTACTGTGGAGGAACAAGGCAAGAAACCTGTCACAACTGTCACTGAAGGTCCAGTAGAAGAAGTAGTTGAAGATATGCTGAAACCACTACCAACTCCAGAATTTGTCAAACCATCTGAAGTAGAAAAAGTCCATGAACAGGTAACTATCACTGAAGAATTAACCAAGGAAGGAAAACCCAAGAAGGTTAAGAAAAAGAAAATAATCACACGCAAAGGAAGAGAACAGCAGGTATCTGAAGTAGTAACAATTGAGGAACAGGGAAAAGCTCCAGTTACAACTGTTATTGAAGGTCCTACAGAAGAAATTGTTGAAGAAACGATTAAAACATTATCAGGTCCAGAATATGCCAAACCGGGTGAGGAAGAAGAAATTCGTGAACAAGTTACTGTCACACAAGAAGTCACTGAAGAAGGGAAACCAAGAAAGATCACCAAAAAGAAGGTCATTAAGCGTAAAGGCAAAGAACAACAGGTGACAGAAGTTGTTACCATCGAAGAACAAGGAAAGAGACCTGCAACAACCGTCACTGAAGGTGCTGTCGAGGAAATAGTAGAGGAAATGGTAAAACCATTACCTGCTGCAAAACGTGTGAAACCTACTGAAGTAGAAGAAGTTCGTGAACAAGTAACTATCTCTGAAGAGATAACTAAGGAAGGTAAACCAACGAAAGTCACCAAGAAAAAGCAGATCAAGCGTAAAGGAAAGCAACAACAGGTTACTGAAGTAGTAACGATCGAAGAACAAGGCAAGGCTCCAGTTACAATTGTCACTGAAGGTCCAACAGAAGAAGTAGTCGAAGAAATATTGAAAACTTTACCAGCACCCAAATATGCTAAACCATCAGAAATCGAGGAGCTTCGTGAACAAGTCACTGTGACCCAAGAAATTACAAAAGAAGGTAAACCAAAGAAAACAGTTAAAAAGAGGGTTATCAGGCGTAAAGGGCCACAACAGCAAGTAACAGAAGTTGTCACAGTCGAGGAAGAAGGAAAAGCTCCTGTCACAACCGTAACCGAGGGACCTGTTGAAGAACTGATTGATGATGTAATAAAACCACTTCCTGTTCCAGAATATGTGAAACCAACTGAAGTTGAAGAAGTTCGCGAACAAGTGACTGTCACTGAAGAAGTTACTAAGGAGGGTAAACCTAAGAAGGTCACGAAGAAGAAGATCATCAAACGCAAAGGAAGAGAGCAACAAGTGTCTGAAGTTGTCACTGTAGAAGAACAAGGCAAGCTTCCAGTTACAACTGTTACTGAAGGTCCTACAGAAGAAATAGTTGAAGAGACACTGAAAGCTCTTCCTGCCCCAAAACATGCTAAACCAGGAGAAGTTGAAGAGGTCCGTGAACAAGTTACAGTTACGCAAGAAGTGACAAAAGAAGGCAAACCCAAGAAAGTCACCAAAAAGAAGGTTATCAAACGCAAGGGAAAAGAACAACAAGTGACTGAGATGGTAACCGTTGAAGAACAAGGAAAGCGACCTGTCACAACTGTCACTGAAGGTCCTATTGAAGAAGTTGTCGAAGAAATTGTAAAAGCACTTCCTATTACAGAACGTATAGAACCTACAGAAAAGGCGGAAGCACCCGAAGAAGTAGAAGTGACTGAGATCGTTACGAAAGAAGGCAAATCGAAAAAGGTCATTAAAAAGAAAGTTCCTAAGAAAGTTCCTATATCTGAAGAAGAGAAGATCGAAGCACCTGAAGCTCCAGAAATTCCTCTAGAAAAAGCTAAGAAGAAACCTGTCAAGCTCCAACGTATGAAAATAACGAAATTCGAAGCCACAAAACTCGAAGTTCAAGAAGTATCGGTGGATAAACCTCAGTTCGCTCAAATTAAATTACGCAAGACTCCAACTGTGAAACGTCCAGTGGAGAAAAAGGACAAAATTCCTCGCGTTCTTCTTCGAAGCCGAATTACACCTATTGAGTGGCCTCCAGCGATAAAACATTTGAAGATCGACGAGCTCGAACCAAACGAGGTCCAAAATGGTATCTTATCTCGCAACATTGAAGAAGCTGATAAGTTACCAAAACCAAAGAAGAAGAGGATCAAGCGCATAGAAAAAGAAATAGCAAAGCTTGAGAAGTTGGATCAGGAGTTCGAGGAGTTAAAGAAAGAATTACCACTAGAGAAACTTGAAGAACCTGTACCAGAAGTAAAACCAGAGAAGAAAGTTAAAAAGAAAAAACCTGTTGCAAAGATTGAAGGTGAGAAACCTCAGTTGATGAGGATCAGTATCAAGGAACAGAAAGCAATTAAACCTAAGATCGAAGAACCGGCTACTCCTTTATTCGCGCAAATTAAACTAAAGAAAGCTCCTGTCAAACCGAAGAAAAAAGAAGACAAGGATGAAAAGTTCCCTAAAATTCTTTTACGCAGCCGTATCACAGAACACGAATGGCCACCGTCGATTAAATATCCAATTATAACCGAACTTGAACCTAATTACGTACAGAATGGTATTCTATCTCATACCATGGAAGAAGCACTAAAATTAAAGAAGATAAGACATAAGAAGGTGAAACTTCCAGAGAAAGAAATAACAGAATTAGAGAAAGTGGATCAAGAATTTGAAGAATTGAAGAAAGTTCCATTAGAAAAGGTAGAAGAAATGGCACCATATGAACGTAAACCTAAACCAGAAAAACCTGAAGAAGAAAAACCGAAGAAATTGAAAATAGGCAAAGGAAAGCCGCGGATTGCAGAAGAGGAGAAACCAGAGACTGTGAAACTGAAGAAGATACCAGAGAAGGTTCCAAGTGTTTCAGAAGAAGAGGCTCCCGTTCCGAAGAAAAAAGAAGAAAAAGAGAAACCAAAGAAAGAAAAAGAAGAGAAGGAATATCCTGAGTTAAAACCATTTGAACCTTATGAGATGGAAACTCCGGAAGTTGAACTGGAAGAAAGAGAGGTGCCAGAGTATCCTGAACCGGGAAAGAAAGTTCCTAAGAAAGTTCCAAGCAAAAAACCAAAGAAAGAACGTAAAACACCAGCTCAGGAAACCGAGGCTATTCCAATAGTACCTGGAATTCCAAAACCAGAAGAACCGGAAGAAGAAGAAGAAATAAAGAGGAGAATTCCTGAAAGAGAAGCTCCAAAGGAGGAGCCAGAGAAAATCAAACTGAAACCTTGGAAAAAACCGGAAGAAGAGAAAGAGGAAGAGAAGAAGCCCGAAGATTATCTGAAATTCGTTCCCAAAGACGACGACATTATCGAAACTGTCGAGGTTGTTACAACCGTAATTACAGAAGAAATACCTGAAAAGAAACCGCGAAAGATCAAAAAGAAGAAAACCACGACCAAACGTGGTGACGAGAAACCAATAGTTGTTGAAGAGACAACGATACAAGAAGAAGGCGAAGAGCCACTCGTAACTGTCGAAGAAATTGTCGAAGATAAACCAATGGTATTACCGATAGAATCGATTGTACCAGCCGCGCCTGTCGAAGAGATCAAAGAAGAGATCGTAACGAGCGAGATCGTGACCGAGGAAGGAACAAAGAAAACTGTACGCAAAAAGCGTGTCACCAGGAAATACGAAGGTAAAGAACAGGTCACTGAAGAGGTGACCGTGGAAGAGGAAGGTAAAGAACCATTAACAGCAACAATAGAAATCCACGAAGACACTACACCAGAAATACACGAAAAACCAAAACACAAAAGACCGATAAAACCTAAAGCTGACAAGAATGTGACAGAAGGTAAGCCTATTTCTTACGTATTACTATCATCTCATACAACTATATATATATACGTTTCATTCATTTACCAAATAGTGCATAAATATATTATACGATGTAAACAGAACAAGATACAAAGACATGATGGACAAATATACTTATATTTCTATACTTTATACATGTAACATTGATCAGTGTATCTGTTGATGAGCTATTGGTATATATATATTGGTATATATATATATATATATGCTTTCTATATCGATACTTCGTTTATTCGTTAATGGTTTGTTAAGTGGTTTCTGCCATAAAGAAATGCTTAATGTTGAGAATATTTGTTAAGCAGATCTAAAACATTTTGTTCTTTTCACAGATATTACGGAAGAAGTGGTTGAAAAGGTAGGATTTATGACCGATCGTAAGATTGTTTTATTTGGGTAGGTCATCTCATAAATAATGTATTTTTTAATATATGTATAGATTAGATGAAAATAATCGAGTATTTATTAGAAGAGTATTTATTACGGGGAGATTATAGTGTAACAAGAAATAAAAAACGAAACTAAAAATAAAAATTAATTCTTTCCATACATCAAAAATACGATAATTCAAAAATAAAAAAGCACATTACTTATGAAATGACCTACTAAAATGTCTAAAATTAATAACACAAGTACAAATTACTTATTTTTTTTAATGAAAAAACAGGAAATCATCGAGGAAGTCAAACCTATCAAAAAGATCATCAAGAAGAGGAAGCCAGTGCCGGGTAAAGATGAAGTAACAGAGGAAGTCGTGGAAGAGATAATAATAGAGCAACCACAAGAAGAAGAAGCCCGACCAATCATTGAAGAAGTAGAAACAGTGACGATCACGGAACACGATGTACGAAAAGCTCCAAAGAAGAAGAAGGAGGTGGTCATCAAAGAGGAAGAAGAGATCTTCGAAACAATCGAAACACCCACTCAGAAAATAATTCGAAAGAAGATCCGTCCAATGAAGAAAGGAGAAGAAGAGATCGTGGTGGAAGAGATAATTCAGAAGCCACTAGAAGAAATAACCAAAATGGAAGAAGAACAAATAGTAGAAGTCGTTGAGACACCCACTAAGAAAGTAGTAAAAAAGAAGAAAGCCATAGTGAAAGATGACGGTGTTCCTGAAGAGATCGTTGAAGAAATTATTATCGAAAAGCCACAGAAAGAAAAAGCGAAACCTAAGGTAGAAGAAGGAACAGAAACGGTTAAAGTAACAAGGGTTGATCTGAAGAAAGCACCGAAGAAACCTGAAGAGATAGTAGAAGAAGAAGAAGAAATCATTGAAACCATTGAGACACCAACAAAGAAGATCATTCGAAAGAAACCTAAAGATAAGAAGGAAAAGGTAGTGGAACAAGTTATACAGAAGACCATAGAGGAAGCAAAAGCCATGGAGGAAAATGAAATCGTAGAAATCATTGAAACACCAACGAAGAAAATAATCAAGAAGAAAAAAGCTACAATCACAGAAGGAGAAGCTCCTGAGGAACAAATCGAAGAGATCGTGATTGAGAAACCTGTTAAAGAAAAAGCCAAAAAGAAGATTCTACCAAAAGAAGGTTTAGAAATCACTGAAATTATTACCGAAACTTCTGTCGAGGAGTTACTTGAGGAGAAGGCTAAACCTGAAGAAGCCAAACCCTCGGAAGTGGAAGAAGAAAAGGCAGAAGTTACTAAGGTAGAAGTAAAGAAAGTTCCAAAGAAGAAGAAGAAACCAGTTACAGCTCTTGAAGCCGAAGAGAAGGACGAAGCTGTGGAAGAAATAAAACCTGAGGTACCTAAAGAAGAAAAGGCGGAACCAGCTGTTATAGAGAAAGAAAGTGTTGAAGTGACTGAAGTGATTTCTCAAGTGACCACGGAGGAACTTCCTGAAGAGGTTAAACCTAAGAAGAAGAAGGCTACTGAGGTTAAGGAGATAGAAGAACAGGTGATCAAAAAAGAGGTTAAAGTGAAGGAAGCACCGAAAGAAGGTGTGTCTGAAACTGAAGAACAGCCAGAGGAAGAAGTACAAGAACTTGTAACTGAGAAGCCAAAGAAGGTTAAAGCCAAGAAAGAAATTACGCCTCAAGATGGTATTATAACCACTGAAGTTATTTCTACAACTGCGGAAGAAGAATTACAAGTGCAGAAACCAGAAGAAGATAAGGCTAAAATAGTCGAAGAGAAGGAAGAGAAAGCAGAAGTAAAAGAAAAGAAGGTTACTGTAAAGAAGACTCCTAAGAAGAAATTAACACCGAAGGAAGCTGAAGAGGAACAAGTGGAGGAAGTTGTGGAAGAGATTACAGCGGATGAACCAAAGAAAAGGAAGGCTAAGAAGACTGTCCTTCCGAAGGAAGAGTTACAAACAACTGAAGTGGTTACTGAGATTACTACAGAAGAAATAAAAGAAGAGAAGCCAAGGGAAGAGAAGGCTGTTCCTAAAGAGGAAGAAAAAGTTGAAGAAGAGGCAACGGTTACCGAGGTTTCTGTGAAGAAGGTACCTAAGAAGAAGAAAAAGGAGGAAGTTGTGACGAACGGTGAAGTGATTGAAGAGAAACTGAAAGTGAAGGAAATTCCTGAAGAGAAACAGGAAGTAAAGGAAGAAGTAAAGGAAGAAAAACCAGAGGAAGTGAAACCAGAAGAAGAAAGAGCAAAGGAGGTGGAAACGGAGGAAGAGAAACCAAAAGAAAAACCAAAGAAGAAGAAAATCACCGCAGAAAAGAAACCCACCGTTGTAGAGGAAGAGCAACACGAGGAAAAGATAGAAGAAATACCAGAAGAGAAGCCAAAGATGGTCAAAGCCAAGAAGGAGATTATTCCACAGGATGCCGTTGAAACCGCAGAAGTTGTTCCAGAAACTGTTGCTGAAGAAACGCCAACAAAGAAACCTGAAGAACGCAAGGCTGTACCAGTCGAAGAGAAACTGGAAGAAGAAGTAGTAATAGAAGAGGTTCCTATAGAAAAAGCTCCGAAAGAGGAAGAGAAAGAAATACCGGAAGAGAAACCAGAAGAAATTCCTGAAAAACCAAAGGAAGCAAAGGTTGTAAAGAAGAGAAAGAAGAAGATAGTGAAGAAAGATGAAATCGAGGAATGGGTCGAACCGGAGTACGAACGACCTGTACTGGAACCCATGCCTGAGAAGATTCAATGGGAACCAAAGAAAAAGAAAGAGAAGAAACCTTTACCAGAATCTTTGCAAAAATTGGTCCCTCAAAAAATCGAAAGAAAAGAGATCAAACCCACGAAGCTCAAATACTCAGAACCGGTTGAAACCGTTCAGTTCGCTGCGATCAAATTGAAAAAAGTGGCAGTTTCGAAGAAGAAAGTAGTTGAAGAAGCCAAATTCCCGAAGATCATGTTACGAAGCAGACTTACATTCGTCGGTGACTATCCACCTGAAATTCAATATCCAAAGATAACAGAACTAGAAGAGAATCCGGTTCAATCTGGTATTCTGTCTAGAAACACCGAGGAAGCTCTGGAAGTGCTGAAGCGAAAGGTCAAGAAAGTTAAACTTCCTAAGAAAGAAATTGCAGAATTGGAAAAATTGGATCAAGAATTCGAAGAATTGAAGAAGGTACCTTTGGAGAAAGTGGAGGATAAATCGATATACGAACGTCCACCGAAGAAGCCTGCAGAAAAACCAGAAGAGCCACAGAAGTTGGTCGTTGGCAAAGGCAAGGTACCTGAAGAAGAAAAAGTGGAACCTGAAAAGGTGAAACTAAAGAAGGTTCCTGAAAAGAAACCAGAAGAAATCGAAGAACCATTGAAGAAACCACCCAAACCAGTACCTGAAGAGGAAGTGAAACCAGAGAAAAAAGACAAACCAAAGGTGAAATTAGAACACGATGAGTTAAAGCCTTTGGATTTCGAGAGACCAGAACTGGAGAAATATGAACCAGAGAAATACGAAGAACCAGAAAAACCAGCACCAGAGCCAGTTCCAAAACCATACGAACCAGAAGAGAAGAAGAAGCCAGATCAAGAGATCGAACAGATTCCGTTGATAAAGGGAAAACCGAAACCACAAGAGCCGGATAAAGAACCTGAAGTTAAGTTCAGAATACCTCAAAAAGACAAGCCAGAAGAGGAACCAGAGAAGATAACGTTAAAGGGTTGGAAAAAAGACAAACCTGAGGACGAAGGTGTGGAAGAGTTCCCAGCGAAGGAAGAAGAGGAAGCTCCTAAAGCACCCAAAGAAGAACTTGAAGAAATCACTGTGAAGCGTAAGGTGAAACCAAAGAAACCCAAAGAGAAGGTTCCAAAGGAAGAAGAGGTAACACTGAAGGAGCCTGAAAAGAAGAAACCGGAAGAAGTTCCAGAAGTAGTAGAAGATATCACTTTGAAAAAGGAACCAGAGAAACCTATTGAAGAAGCTCCTGCTGAACTTACCATCAAGAAGCCAGTTTTGAAGGAGAAAGAAGTACAAGAAGAAGAAATAGTGGCTGAAGTGACGTTAAAGAAGAAACCGGAGAAACCTGAAGAAGTGGTTGAAGAAGCAATTGTGAAGAAGCCAAAGAAGAAGAAGCCCGTAAAAGAAGAAGAGGCTGTTGAAGTTACAATAAAAAAGAAAGAGGAAGTGGAAGAAGAAATTAAAGAAGACGTTGTTATAAAGAAGAAGCCAAAGGAGGAGGCGCCTGCAGAAGTGGTTGAAGAAGTCATTTTGAAAAAACCAGAAGAAAAAGCTGCTGAAGAAGTAACTGAAGAAATAGAGAAACCTAAAAGAAAGAAACCTGTGGAGGAAGAAGCTGCAGACGAAGTCACTATTAAGAAACCAGTTGTAGAGGAAAAGAAGGAAGAAGACGTTCCTGAACAGGTAACGCTAAAGAAGAAGAAACCAAAGGAAAAACCGGTTCCAGAAGAAGTAACCGAAGAAGTTACACTGAAACCGGTTCCGAAAGAAGAAGAAAAGGCACCAGAGGAAGTAACTGAGAAAGTGGAGATGAAGAAACCTAAGAAGAAGAAGCCAGTGGTTGAAGAAGCTGCCGATGAAGTTACTATCAAGAAACCAGTGCCAGTAGAAAAGGAAGAAGAAGAAATTATAGAAGAAGTAACATTTAAGAAGAAGAAACCAAAGGAGAAACCGGTTCCAGAAGAAGTGATTGAAGAAATTACACTGAAACCAGTTCCGAAAGAAGAAGAAAAGGCACCGGAGGAAGTAAGTGAGAAAGTGGAGGTGAAGAAACCTAAAGAGAAGAAACCAGTGGTGGAAGAAGCTGCCGATGAAGTTACTATCAAGAAACCAGTATCAGTAGAAAAAGAAGAAGAAATTATAGAAGAAGTAACATTGAAAAAGAAGAAACCAAAGGAAAAACCGGTTTCAGAAGAAGTGATTGAAGAAATTACATTGAAACCAGTTCCGAAAGAAGAAGGAAAGGCACCGGAGGAAGAAAAGAAAAAGAAAAGGCACCGGAAGAAGTAACTGAGAAAGTGGAGGTGAAGAAACCTAAAGAGAAGAAACCAGTGGTGGAAGAAGCTGCCGATGAAGTTACTATCAAGAAACCAGTATCAGTAGAAAAAGAAGAAGAAATTATAGAAGAAGTAACATTGAAAAAGAAGAAACCAAAGGAAAAACCGGTTTCAGAAGAAGTGATTGAAGAAATTACATTGAAACCAGTTCCGAAAGAAGAAGGAAAGGCACCGGAGGAAGTAAGTGAGAAAGTAGAAGTGAAAAAACCGAAGAAAAAGAAGCCCGTAGTCGAAGAAGCTGCCGATGAAGTCACTATTAAGAAACCTGTTCCTGTAGAGAAGGAAGAAGAGGAAATTATAGAAGAAGTAACATTTAAGAAGAAGAAACCAAAAGAAAAACCGCTAACGGAGGAAGAAGAGGTCGCTAAAGTGACTCTCACGAGACCAAAACCAGTGGAGGAAGAAAAGAAACCGGAAGAAGTAGAAATATCATTGAAAAAGAAACCGAAGAAAAAGCCAGTCGTTGAGGAAGAAGCTGCCGAGGTAACTATCAAAAAATTAGTTCCTATCGAAGCGGAGGAGGCTCCTGAAGAGATTACCATCAAGAAGAAGAAGCCAGAAAAGAAACCAAGGCCAGTCACGGAAGAGGTTGAAGAAACTGCCGTAACCATAAAGAAAGCTCGAGCTCCTGAGGAACCTAAAGAAGAAGAAGAAATATCGACCGATGTACAAATAAAGAAGAAGAAACCCGTACGTAAAGTTACGGAAGAGGTAGCTGAAGAATTAACGATCAAAAAGATCGAAGAAGTGGAACAACCAGAAGAAGAAGAAGAAGAGGTGCAAGAATTCACAGTCAAAAGGAAACCTCCAAAGCTGCCACCAAAACCTATCGAAGAAATCTACGAAGATGTTACTCTTCGGAAGTTACGTCCAAAGAAGAAACCAAGGCCAGATATCAAAGAAATAACAGAAGCAGAGAATGTGACGTTCAGACCACGTTCTACGAAGACCAAAGAAGATGTAGAGCAAGAATTCAAGATCTCGTTGAACACTTACGAGGAAGAAGACATTTCTATGTCCGGTAAGGTTAAACTGAAACCTAAGAAACGACCGATGACGTACTCTGAAGAAGCAGGGGAAGAAACCATCAAAATTATGCAAGAAGTCGAAGACGACTCTGGACCAATTATAGAAGAGATCATAGAATCAGACGAGGAGGCTAGAGATGAATATAGCATAGAAGAATTAGAGACTGATGAGATGAGAGTGCCACTGAGAAGGAGAAAGAAGAAGGAACCAAGGCCATATAAGGTGGAAGATATCGAGGAAGGTGACGTGAGCTTAAAATTGAAACGCGAGAGGAAATATTCTGTGGAGGAAGCTGACGAAACGTTGGCGCTGAAGTTGAAGAGCAAGAGACGAGTTTCCACCTTCGACGAAGGTTCGAGAGGATTTTTCGATTTCCGCTTTCGCAGATAACGTTTAATGTGATGTAACGTGCTTTCAGCTAATATTAACGCGCTTCGTCAGACCATAAGGTGCAATTAGTGAGTATGCTTGTCCCTAACATCCTTCTGCCTCCGAAACGAAGCCTCGCCTACAATCTTCCGCTTCTTAATCCACTGCGAATGAAAAGCATATCGGTACTTCCTATAACGTACTTCAACAAAAAATCGCAGTAGAACGCTGTATAACGAATTTCTAGCGGCATTAGGCCTATTAGCGACATATGTATTCGTGATAGACGAGTATGATTGTATAATATCGTAAAATATATAGAATATATTGACGCTTCAATAGTTGATTGTATTAATGGATATCGGCTTGTGTAATTGATTTTGCTTACTTTTGTTATAATACTTTGTTTGACCCTTTACAGAAGAGGCCTCGCTTAGTATCACCAGAGAAGAAGACATTTCAGAGGAAGGTACGTTCATGTTCCAATAAAATACATTGCTGAAAACTATTTGAATCGTTTTTTGTATTATTTTGATTTTTATACACACTCTTTGCGTCTGTTCATTATTTTTTTTAATGTTTGGGGTTAAAAAGTTAATGTTTATCATATTAATAATATGTCAACCTATCAATCTTATGCAATTTCATTTCTATTCATATCGTTTATACTAGTGATCCTCTAATTTATCTATTTTTATTTTCATGACATTCTTAATCCAATATTAATAGATAACGTATTTGAATAAATTGATGTTTTAGACGAAATCGAATACGTTGTACGCGATGGCGACACAATGTTCTCGATTTGCTCGTACGTGGCAGAAACTGACGAAGCCATCAACCTCGTCGAAGGAGAAAGAGTTTACGTTATCGGTAAGTTGATACGTTTCTACACGAAATGGTGCATCATTATATCGATGTAACTAGGTTAACGGTACTATTGTTACGTTCTGCCTTGATATCTTTATTTTTACGTTTCCTTTTTTAGACCATTCGAATCAAGACTGGTGGTTCGTGAAGAAACACCTGACGGAAGAAAAGGGCTGGGTTCCAGCGCAATATCTTCTCAACGAAGTGCACTATACTCTGTATTTGCAGCGCAAATTGCACGAGAAAATCGATAAATTACCAGTATTTGAAAGTAAGTTTATTCACACTTTACTAACTCACTAAAAACAGTAAAAATTTATCTTGATGAAGATTATTTCCCAATAATATTAAGTAATTATGAACATTCTCATTTTCTCACACACTTGATTAAATTACAAATTACCTAATTTTACTTTACGATCTCTGTAATTATTTCATACGTTTTCACAAATTAACAAGAATTTGATTAACGCGTTAATTTGCATTTTAAACAAAAGAAAAGTTACATTATCGTAAAAAGTATTAGCAGAAAATTCGCGTCACAAATATAATGCAAATTATTAATTAATAATCACAGAACCAGGGCCAGGGGAGAAGACATCAGCACCGAGGTTCATCGAAAAATTGCAGCCAATTCACACACCAGATGGTTACACGATCCAATTCGAATGTCAAGTGGAGGGTCTACCAAGGCCTCAGATAACTTGGTTCCGACAGACAGCCATCATCAAGCCATCACCTGACTTCCAAATGTACTACGACGACGATAATGTAGCAACTTTGATCATCAGGGAAGTGTTCCCCGAAGATGCTGGCACCTTCACCTGTGTCGCCAAGAACGCCGCTGGTTTCGCTTCCAGTACCACAGAATTAATTGTGGAAGCGCCTCTTTCTGATCATGGATCGGATCTTACTGGTCCATCCAGAAAGAGCCTCTCAAGGTACGTTTTTTCCCACTGTATTTTCCATATCTTTTTTTAGATATAGATTGGAAAATATTATTGATAATATCGCAAAACATTAAAATAAATTACTTGCATTCAATTATCAATTTCTTCATTCGAGGATATCTTTGATTATTTACTATTTCTATTATTTCAATATTATTAATATTTTCTCGAATTTTTACACAAATATAATATGCTATTTGTTGGATTAAGTATGTTTCCTTATTCTTAAAATTAGTGATAATAATAATTGAAAAATACGTAAATATTTTTTCTACGCCTATTGCAATTCTAATTAAATAATTATAATTAAAATATTAGGTTGTCCGAAAAGTGTCTTTCTCTTACAGACACGTCTTTTACAACGATGCATCTTTATACAAACGTGAAACCTAATCTGTCGAACGTTGTGATCTTTATTTTGATAGAACGAAATGGATCATACGTAATTCGATAAAATAATATAAAACGGAAAATCTTGTGCATCCATTGTTTCCTTATAAAACGAAAGAAACTTTTCGGACGACCTAACATGTGTTCTATATAATTGCAAATAAATGTCTGCAGAGAATCATCTCTCGCCGACATCTTGGAGGGAATACCACCAACGTTCTCAAGGAAACCAAAGGCGAAATACGTCAACGAAGGTGATGATGTGATTTTGGAATGTCGACTGGTGGCAGTACCTGAACCAGAAATAACCTGGTACTACAAGGATACGCAGATTACAACCAAAGAGAACATCGTGGTTGCTACCGAGAGCGACATGCACATGTACTGCAGCGTAATTAAGATCACTAAAGTACAGAAGAAACAGGAAGGAAAGTACACTATCGTTGCTAGAAACAGGGAAGGTGAAGCTACTATAGAAATTCCTATGAAGGTTTGTATATAATAATAATAATAGTACTTCAATCGTGATTATTATTACTATTTGATAATTGCAATTCACTAGTTCTAGAATTTATTATTATTTGTAATTCGATAATATCATACAATTAATTCGAAATTGCTACGTAATTCCATTAATTTGTTAAGCAATTTCTTCTTCCATAATTTAATATTCGAATTGAAGGATTTTTGATAGAATATCGAATAGATGAAAATAGAAATTTTAATCTTCAATAAAATAAATACTGCACAGATCGAATGCTTCTCTACTTTGCTAATTCGCAAGTTTCGTTCTACTTAAATGTAGATGTTACTTAAAAAAATGTACACGAAAAGAATATTAAATTATAAATATTTTACGAAATGATTGTTACGCGGACTCGATTCTTCTCAAACTTGATAATTAAAAAGTCGTTCCATTTGAATATGGTATACAGAGATATTGCTTCTCAAAAATTTCAATCTAATCGCACAGGTGAAGACTGGCAAACACGAGCCGCCAGAGATTCTAGAACCATTGCAATCGTACGTGATACGGGAAGGTGAAACCGTGGTATTATCGACACAAATCGTCGGAAACCCAGCTCCTAAAATAACTTGGTACAAGAACGGTAAACCACTGAAAGGCTTGACTCCGAAACAAGATGGCCACGTGAATACGCTCACGCTGATTCAACCTCAAGTATCTGACACAGGGGAATATTCTGTGGTAGCTACCAACGATCTTGGCACAGCCGAAACGAAAGCTACGTTAACAGTTGAAAGTAAGAATATCGGAACTCGTAGTCATACTTTGCGCAGAATATTAGCTTCTTGCGATGAAAGCTTCTTGTTCATAATTATTCATTTGTAATTATTTGAATGGCATCAAAGGCTGATGAACCGTTTCAATCGAAGACACCAACGACTTCTAATCAAGCCGATTTCTATTGGGTTGGCAACTAAGTGATTGCGGATTTTGTCATTACCACCTAACGGCAAAATCCGCAATCACTTAGTTGCCAATAATAATAATACAGAATCGAAATAGCGTTCGTTGTTTCAATGAAGAATTCAATGAAGACCTTAATTAATTTTTACAATAGAAATAAAGTAAAATGCAAAATGTGTATCGTTCGAATAATCATGCGACAACGTATCAGGAAATTGATTCGATACGTGTCGTAATGAGACAAATTTTTCTAACAATGCTCATTAAATTTAGATTAAATAATATCGCATTACGCTTGTACATATTAATGCTGCAACATGCTTCGCTACATCATTTTTCAGTAAACTTGAAGCCTTCCCTGACCATTAGCTTCCAGCAACAAACATACGAACAGCACAGTGTATCGAAGGGTAGGATATGCTTCTGCTTGCGTTAATTTGTTGTGTATTTGCAATAATCTAATAACGAAATTGTCTAAGTAATAGCGAAAAATGATATTTATCTGTGTACTCTTGTAGAAATACCTAGCGGAGCTCCGGAACCGCCACTCTTCACGGAACGATTCCAAGAACTCACCGTTCCGCAGAAAGGTACCTTCAAGTTGGTGGCGAAGGTTACTGGAAACCCTGTACCAGAAGTCACGTGGTTAAGGTATCATTAGCTACTTTATTGTTTCCAAGTTTGCGTTATTTGCTATTTGTGAAATATCAAGATTTTTATTTTTTGCTTTTTTTTTAATTCAAACCTCAACACATATCGTTGTACTTGCAATACTTGAGTAGTGAAAGAACGATGAATTTATTGAATTTCCTCGACTTGTATTCTGTTTCACTTCTAAAATATTTTATTGCCGTTAAATGATCAAAATAACCAATTTATTATTTCTCGTGGTAATTTTATGGACAACGGTGCACTGTTAGGGATTTGAATAATTTCCGATAAAGCAGTCATTTTCACTGTTCCATTTTAATTTCTTTCGAACACATATTATATATTTTAGTCATTGGTATAAATCAAAGCACGTTTTAATAACTTACTTTTCGACAGAAACAACAAACCCTTGGAGAAATCACCGAACGTCATAGAAACCTACGACGGCGAGAACATCGTACTGGAGATCAGAAACGCGGATTCAGAGGTAGACGCAGGCGATTACAAGTGTGTGGCGAGCAATCCAGTTGGAAAAGCATCTCACGGTGCCAGAGTGACGGTAGACGTGGAAAAAGTAACATTCACCAAGACTCTGGAGAAGGAAGTCGTCATCGACGAGTACAAGACCTTGGAACTCACCTGTGAAACATCGCACACCGTGTCTACGAAATGGTGGCACAACGACCAGGAGATCAGTGGAATGGATCATCGCGAGATCATTCACGAAGGACGAGTGCACAAGCTGGTGATCAAGAAAACGAATCCTACGGACGAAGGAACTTACAAGTGCACCGTGAAGAATCAATCGACGTCGAGCAAAGTTACGGTAAAAGGTAAGAATCGCTGTAAATAATATATAAATAACAATAAGAATCTCTACGTCACTGTAAATTAAACATTTGAATCTACAACCATTGAATGCAATTATTAAGATTAGGTTTACAGCGATTATCAGACCGCGAATAGATATTTATTGATATTTATATTTTTATGGACGCGATTAAAAAAGTAGTCTCCAGATAGAGATTTTTTTTATTTATTAAATGTTATAACGAATATCTTATATATTTTTGCACGTTATGTGTAGTTTGTGCATTTTTTGCATCTTTAAATTTTCCACAAACGCATAATTACATAGATGGTAAAAAAAATGTATAAATCCGTGACGATTATTAAAGGAAAATATTAAAAATCGATTTTACAGCGATTCGTTGAAGAAAAAGTATGACGCGTAAGTAATTGAAATTTAATGTTACAGCCACGAAACCGGAATTCGTGAAGAAGTTACAAGACTGCGAAGTAAAGGAGCGTGACGTTGCCATTTTGGAGGTTGAAGTTACATCAGCGACAGCGGACGTTAAATGGTTCAAGGATGGCGAGCCTCTGGGACCAAGTAAAGAGAAATTGGAATTTGTTAAAGAAGGTACCGTTAGGAAATTGTTCATTAGAAGCACATCCGTCCATGACGAAGGAGAATACACGTGCAGCCTTATCGATCAGAAATGTTCAGCGGAAGTCACCGTCATTGGTAAATATTATTAATTTATTGTACTGAATATATTAAAACATCTGTTTAAATGTATCTATCATAAAATTCGTGAAACCTAACCAACTATCACCTAGATAATTTAGAATTTGTCATTTACCTAGTTTAGATATATCTACATAAATGGTACTTGGTACAGTAGCTACAAAATATATTGGCACTCCAATGTGTTCATTAGAGCATTTGTATGCTAGTTAATTTGGCCCAAGTATATTAAATTTCATATCATTTAGTAGCACTTTCGTACGAGTATAAAAATTTGATACTATTGGGTTGGCAACTAAGTGATTGCGGATTTTGTCAATACCACTTTATGACAAAAACCACTTTATGACAATATAACTGACTCGACATAGTACACGACGATTATTAATTCCTCGTCAACGTAATAAAAGTAACGTAACGTGATCACTTAGTTGCCAACCCAATATAAAAATGAAACATACAATAAGAATCTGATCAGAAAACATTTCATTAGTATTAATGTAAAGGTGTGAACCAATACTTTTTGTAGTCACTGTATATCTAATTATTATACCTAAGATACCTCTATATATATTATTCCATTTTTATCATAAATATATTCTTTTTATTATATATACAGGCTGGTTGGTAACTGGTGGTACAAAAAAGAAGTCGAAAATATAGAATAAAATTTTTTTTTAATTTTTCCATCGAGACAACGCTCTACAGTGAGATCCATTATACGACAACGATCTACAGTGAGATCCATTATACCGAGACGTGATAAAGTGTACGCGTACCGAGCGAAAATTCAAAGTCGATTTTCTCGAAAACAAAGCCTTGAACGAAAAATTTTTATTCTATATTTTCGACTTCTTTTTTCGCGTAGAATCACTCCCTTTCCGTTTGTACCTCCAGTTACCAACCACCCTATATATATTTGTCAAAATCCAAGGTCTTATACAACAACAACAATTTATAATTGTCGTTTCACTCTATGAAATAGATGCAATCTATGATATAAAAAGTCCAACATCTAAAGATTAGAACTGCACTTATAAAATTTACAAATAACAACTACTATTTCACGAGTATTAAATTAAAGTTTACAGTATGACGATGTACTATTTACCATCTTTTCTTACAAATTATCGTAGAACTACCACCGGAAATTATTACGAAGATGCAAGATGTGACAATAGCAAGAGGCGAGAGGGCAACGTTCGAGATAGAACTAACAAAAGGAGATGCGTTGGTTCGATGGTTCAAAGATGGACAAGAGTTACAATTTTCGGAACACGTCCGATTGTCGATCGATGGCAAGAGACAGAAGCTGAAGATCTACGATACGGAACCGGAGGACGCAGGCGTTTATTCCTGCGAAGTCGGTGAACAAAAATCAACAGCCAAGTTGACTGTAGAGGAACCTGGCGTGGAATTCGTCACTAAATTACCGGATGTCACCCTTGTACCATTGAACGCCGATGCCGTTTTCGTTATTGAAATATCACGCGACGTTCCAGTCACGTGGATGAGGTAAGATAAAATATTAATATAATACATGTGAATAAATAAATAATTATTTAGATAATGTGTATAAATATAATGTTACGTCTTTTATATAACGAAAAGCAAATTTGTGTATTACATTTTAAAATAGATAATTATTTCGAATATCGATATATACAAATGACTATAATTATATCGAATTAAGAGAAAAATAAAACTTGACGTAATGACATTATAGGAAAACGGAAGTTCTTAAGGAATCGTCCAAGTACACCATTATAGATGAGGGAACCGTGAAGAAATTGATCGTGAAAAAATGTACCGCTAAAGATATCGCGGAATACACAGCTGCGGTAACGAACGTGAAAACATCATCGAAATTAAGAGTCGAAGGTAATGTTCAGATTAAATATCTGCCAAACGAAATTAAAGAAATGTCTGTATTTAAACGTTTTAAAAAATTTGAGAAATTTATTCAACGACAAAATTTATCGCTATTAACGATCGATAATGTTTAACTGATATTATCGTTCGTTTAAATTTTCACAGTTATGGAAACGGCGCCAAAGATTAGTCCGGATACACCAAAGAAGTACAAAGTAAGGAAAGGCGAAGACGTGGAAGTAGTCGTGAAATTCAGCGCAACACCAAAACCAAACGACGAATGGACAGTGAACGGCAACGTGGTTACAAAATCGAAACGAGTCGTGCCATCAATCGGTGAAGAATCCGCGGTATTAACAATCAGGAAGATCCAAGAAGAAGATGTTGGTGATTATACTTTGAAACTGGTGAACAACGTCGGAGAGGCTACCATCGAGATCAACGTCGTTATCGTCCGTAAGTATTTTTAACAATTTCAAGATAATTTTTAGAATATTTCATCTTCTTTGTTTTTTCATTGTACGATACATTTTTATTAAGAAATTTTGTTCTTACGTTGTAATTACACGATACATTTTTATTGATAAATTTTGTTCTTACGTTATCTGTGTATTTACAGAGGTACCGAGTGCACCTGGAGCACCAGAACCATTGGAAGTAACTGAGGACAGTGTTACGCTTCACTGGAAGAAACCAGATTCAGATGGAAACTCGCCCATCGTTGAGTACATTCTGGAGTATCAAGAAAAGACTGAAGCTACGTGAGTATATTTTATTAAACGGGAAAAGGCTTGAATAAAATATTCGAATAGAACAATGTAGGAATGACTTCCGAGTAGAAGATTTGAATAAAAAGAGTTAGAATTGATTTGTGAAGAAAATATTCAAGTATACAAAAATATTTAATTAAGAGCAATACGATGAAGCTATAGTAAATCTTGATTGATGTTTTTCAGTGGAATAATAGATATGAGTTATGAAATATATTTATCTTTTTAATTTAAAGGTGGAACAAGATTACAGAGACTATAACAGAAACAACACATACGGTAACGAAATTAACCACGAACAAAGAGTACACCTTCCGAGTAACAGCTGCAAACGAGGCTGGACCAGGTGAAACATCACCAACTTCTCCGTACATAAAGATAACAAAACCATCGGCTGCAGAACCACCAGTTCTTCTAGAACCTCTGAAGAGTGTCATCGTTGGCCTTGGAGAAACAGTCACCCTATCTTGCGTCATTGGAGGAACACCGACGCCTCAGATTACTTGGTACGAATTTTCATTATCGAATCGTGTAAATTTCATGAAACTTTATCAGAGATATTTTTCTACTCTTCTCTTCTTAATTTAAATTAACCAAAGTACAAATTTTTCCATCGAATTTTCATCTTCTTGTAAATCTCTTTTGATTTGAACTATTTGAACCGGAAACTTGTCTATCGAATTTTCAATATAGTTTTTATTACATTTAAATCAACTTACAAGATCGTCTTGTCAAAAAAGATTGTAGTGTACTAAAATATCAAAAATTATATCAACAATAGTAGAAAATAATTTCAACCGATTCATCTGCTTTCAGGTTGAGAAATGACGAAATTTTCGAAAACAGCAACATCACGTACGAAAATCGCGTGGCAAAGTACACGATCGAGAAGACAACGGAAACATCGTCGGCGACCTTCACAGTGAAAGCAAAGAACGAAAGAGGAACAGCAGAAACCACGTGCGAACTGAAAGTGCAAGAGCCGCCTAAGATCACGTACGACGAGAGTTTGGCAAGTCAGAAACTTCCGGTGAACAGCCAATGGAAGATCGATATTCGGGCGAGCGGCTTCCCGAAACCAGAAATTACATGGTCGAAGAACAACAAGAAGATAGTGGATAAACGTGTATCCATTCAGACAGAAGAAAAAACCTCTACTATCTCTATCTCTTCGCTCGTTAGAGAAGACACAGCTACCTATACAGCAAAGGCAGCGAATCAAGCTGGCAGCTCTTCGGTTGACTTACATCTTAGAGTCATAGGTATTGTTATTATTATTCACGAATTATAACAATATCTTCAAGGGAAGATATATAACAATTAAGTCGCAGATACTTATGCAAATTTATACTTGTATAGAGAGAACTGAAGAAATAGAATTTAAACAGAAATTCGTTCCACTTGCTAAATATTATAACGGTTGTTCTACCTTAGATATTTCATATATTTCTACAGATTACGCGCATTTTGTGCATTTTTATACTTTTGAATCTTCTATGAATGCGTAAAAACCTGCGATCTAACAACGATCTTCCCTTTTCTAAGTTAATTCTCAAACATTTATCATTTTCTCTTACCAACCATTTACAGTATTATTTTCTAAATTAATCATAAACCGTTTATAATGTCTTAGATAAACCAAGCAGGCCTCAAGGACCAGTGAACTTCAAGGAAATCAGACAAGATCGCGTCACCATCGAATGGCGACCACCAGAAGACGATGGTGGAATCGAACTGGAAAAATACACGATCGAGAAATGCGAACCGGGCAAAGCTTGGGTGAAGATGGTCGATATCGACAAAGAAGTGGAGAGCTTCTGTGTGCACAAGCTGCAACAGAATGCGGAATACAAGTTCAGAATCATCGCCAGGAACGCTGTCGGAGCGTCAGAACCATTGGAATCGGAAACGGTCAAAATGAGAACTTCCTTTGGTAGGTTGAACGTTTATATTTTCTACGTGAGTTTTGCTTTACCTTTAGTTTACATTTCTTCGTCTTTTCTTCTTCGTCTTTTTGTATCGTTACCAGCCGTTTCACATTTTCTTACGAATGATGAATCGATTAAACAATAAACGTACGTTTGCTTCTGGGAAAAATTGCAATTGAAATTTTAGTGTATCGCGCCTCCTCTACAAGAATGTCAGAAGATATACGTTTCTGTTAATAATAATTTTCAAGGACTGGATTTTCTCAAAGTCTAGAAAACATTCGATCGAATATTGCATTTGTAAGAACAGAAACCGCGTGTAAGATTTTTGATCGTGTCTGAGCTTTGTGAAATTACCATAATTAACGTATCTTCGCAGAGCCACCTGGACCACCAAGAGGACCGCTAGAAGTATCAGGAATGACGAAGACGTCCTTCACGATAAAATGGCAGCCTCCAGAAAACGACGGTGGAACACCGATAACCGAATATATCGTTGAAATGAAAGAAGAATCGAAGAAATCTTGGCAGAAGGTGATAGAAGAATTCTCTTTGGGAGAATATTTTGACGAAAATTCAAAGTGCATCTTGTTGATTACACTGAAAATATTGTTTACAGATCGGCAGCACAAAGCACGAAACGACGCAATTGAACGTATCGGATCTGAAGACAGATGTACCGTACAACTTCAGGATAACAGCGAAGAACAATGTTGGCACTGGTCCTCCATACGTAGCCGAAGAACCAATTTCAGCAGGCAGACGAATCAGTAAGCAAATCGATCGATCCTTATTGAAAATTACAATATTAATCGCTTAAATCGTTGTAGGCCAATGTACAAAAATAATTTAAAGAAATTTCAATCTTGCAATTAAAGTTTCAAATGTTAAAAATATAGAAAATAATAACAGCATTTCTACGAGACTTTTAGATGGCAATTAGCAATTAAATTGATCGATTTTGATGGAAATTTAATTAACCGTATAAGTGTACGTAACGAAAATAGCTTAAACAATATTAATTCTACAATCGAAGTTTTAGACGCTTTGAAGCAAAAAAACGATAGCACGTAGATAAAAAATTATCATCCTAACGCTTCTGAATCATTTGCATTGTAACTTTCCGCTTATTTACGTTTATAACGCTTCCGCTATCGCTTAGAAATAACAAAGCTCACCGAAAACACCATGTACGCTCTGCTTGGCATATTCCCGTCAACGAAGGTAGTCATGAGTAAAAGTAAGTTTCATTATCTTCATAGTTTGTACTTTACGTTTTGTTACTGATCGACGTTCAATGTAATTTGTAGCACCTCCATCGAGTCCACAACACGTACAAGTGACGAATGTAACCAGTAAGAGCGTCACACTTAGTTGGTCTCCGCCAGCCAGCAATGGAGGATCAGAGCTCACAGGTAATTTTTAATCAAATATAGTATAATAGTATAATATAATATCTGGACATAGTAAATTATATAAATATTGTAGACTATAGATACAGATCTTCAGAATCGTGTGGAGAGTATATGCTGTAGTTGAACAGCTCGCTTACTTACAAATAATTTCTTACGAGAAATACGACGTTCTAAACGATTAGAAAATCATTTTCCACGTCGCTTTGATTGTTACGTCAACCCTCGTGTCTGCACATTTTTCTCTTAAAATTTAAAATCCATCATTACCGATTATAAGATAATAGTGTAATATTTTTGTTGTTTTTTTATTTATTTATTTGAATTTTACAATTTGTCCAGTAGGACATTTGGTAAAATATTATAGCTTAGTGGTATAATAATATAACATGTGGATGGCTACCCCCAGTGAGATACCATCTTTAATAGTGTAATATAATATCTGGACATAGTAAATTATATAAATATTGTAGACTATAGATACAGATCTTCAGAATCGTGTGGAGAGTATATGCTGTAGTTGAACAGCTCGCTTACTTACAAATAATTTCTTACGAGAAATACGACGTTCTAAACGATTAGAAAATCATTTTCCACGTCGCTTTGATTGTTACGTCAACCCTCGTGTCTGCACATTTTTCTCTTAAAATTTAAAATCCATCATTACCGATTATAAGATAATAGTGTAATATTTTTGTTGTTTTTTTATTTATTTATTTGAATTTTACAATTTGTCCAGTAGGACATTTGGTAAAATATTATAGCTTAGTGGTATAATAATATAACATGTGGATGGCTACCCCCAGTGAGATACCATCTTTAATAGTGTAATATAATATCTGGACATAGTAAATTATATAAATATTGTAGACTATAGATACAGATCTTCAGAATCGTGTGGAGAGTATATGCTGTAGTTGAACAGCTCGCTTACTTACAAATAATTTCTTACGAGAAATACGACGTTCTAAACGATTCGAAAATCATTTTCCACGTCGCTTTGATTGTTACGTCAACCCTCGTGTCTACACATTTTTCTCTTAAAATTTAAAATCGATCTTTACCGTATTATCATATACGTATACATACGTAGTACGTCACAGTATGAACCTATGAAACTACGAAACCCTTGCAAATAAACTTTCTCGCCTTTGTTTACCTTTACGGTATATCGATAGCCATTTCGTTAAAATAGAACTGAAGAAAATGTCTGTATCAGTTTTGTGTTAAAATAGGATAAGATGAATCTGAGTAGGGATCGTTTGATTATATATATGAAACCATAACATTCGATATAATATATAAACGTAAAATAAATAATATCGAAACGATGCATTAAAGGGGCTATAGAAAAATAATCTTACGTTTCCGCATTCTATCCCAAATAGGATACATCATCGAGAAGAGGCCATTGATTGGAAAAGGAGCAAGATGGACGAAGGTTGTCACCCTGGACGCTACGACGCTTCAACATTGCATAGAAAATTTGAAAGAGAGCGAATTTATCTTCAGGATCTTCGCAGAGAACAACATGGGACTCAGTTTACCTACAAACTCAGAACCAGTTACCCTAATGACTCATGCCAGTACATATTCTTCTTTTATAAATATGTATACATCTAGTGATCGTGTGCGAATTTTCATTGAAATTGTAATTTATTGCTCGCGATTTCACAGACGTGCCATCACCACCAACAGCGCCATTGGAAATCAGGCAGATCGCAGCGAACACGGTCGTAATTTCATGGGGCAGACCGGAATCCGATGGTGGAGCACCATTGGAAGGTTACAAAATTGCTATCAGGGACGCGAAGAAGACAATGTGGATGGAAGTAGGCAAAGTGAACGCCGAAACACAGAAATTGAATATCAGGGATTTACAGGAGAACCATATGTACCTGATCAGGATCTTTGCCAGGAACGAAGTCGGTCACAGCGATCCTTTGGAGTCTGATGAACCAGTCAAGATCATACCAGCTTCCGGTACGTCGTTTTTAATTTACCATTTTAGATGCTTTGTTAAAGGAACATTCGAAAAGATTGAAAAATCTTGGAGAGAAGATTTTGGAAACTTTTTGGTAATTCTCGAGAGAACGCTTATATAGAAACTTTCAGAAATTTGAAATAAGATATTCGTAATCTGTTCAAAGTACCATCCACCTCGACAAAGAAACAAATGTAATCTTTTAAAAATCTTAGATTTAAAATCTTGAAAATTTAAATAGCGATATTTGCGACCTCTTGAATATTCTACAAAGGACATTTGGCATTTAGAATATTTTAAACATTGTAAATAACACGTATATTTGAAACACTTAGAAATGCAAAAGCGAAATTTAATATTTGTAAATCATATTCTCTCTAAACCTCCGCGATGCTGAAATATTTGATTCTACAATTTCGCACTGTGTATTTTAGATTCAGATTTCGAAATCTCCCGTTGTTATTTCTGTATCTAGAGATCGAAATAGCTATTATTTTATTCTTTGGATAAATCTATCACACCGTTCTAAGCCGAAAATCCTTTATTGCGCTTTCTTACATGGGCTAGGGATAAAAACAAAAGAATATCTTAAACCTATCGATTATATCTAGAACTAATTTCTAGTTACTATTTATTGTAACTAGCGCATCTGCATATAGATGGCGAGCGCGAACTCACGTTGTCATTTTCAACATCTACGATATTTAGATTTAAAAATCCCTATATAATATCCTGTTCCTTAGAACAAAGTTAAGTCGAAAGATACATTCGAGTATGAGAACTTCTGTATCTTGTTAAATTTGAAGAATGCTCAAATCGATACATCCAATTGAACAATTTGCTTCGACTTGCCTGCACGTGCAATTTTCTGTTTTATTTTTCAGAATTAGCCGTAGTGGAGCCAGTAGCAGAAGCCACCGAGAAAGGTGAAACCGCGTCGATGAGCTTCAGCACGGAGAACACGAGTTCTTGGCTACGCGAGCACAACATGGATGCCGATATCCATTCGTACGCGAGAGCGAGACTTCTCAGACAAGACGAATATTTCTTCCGCATTTGGCATTATGCTAAGAAACTCTTCGAATAAGCATTTCTACGATTTTTAATGGCTGAGGAAAGACAAAGAATCAATTTATATTCGTTCTTCGTCTTATCGAGGACCAGAACAATTTAACGCGCTAGTAAGACAAAAAGAAAATCAACAGAGACAATAAGGAACATCTTTGATATTAATTTCATACAGAAATTTCATTCTTCTTTTTTCTAACGAAATTCTCAACAAATCGTGTTCGTATAATATTTCGAACGACTTGGATAATTACTTTCTTCTTCGGTGAATTCGCTTATCGTATCTATTCGATCTCCCTCGGTGAATATCGTCATACGTGAAACAAGGAAAATCAATGTAACATTATCGAATCGTTCCTCTCTTTTAGAAGCACGCGTATAGAGACTAGATTTAATGTAAGGTTCGATACTGGATGGGTGTAGAATCTAGTCAGCGTAGTGATAATACTTTTTTTTTCTTTTTTTCATCTTTTAACGGACCAAGACTTCCTCACGTATACTTAGAGTCGATACAAATGGAAGAGGAATTCTTTCCATTCTTCCGATTCACGAAATAATCGATAAGGGTAATCGTATTACTGAAAATTCGTGAATCCAGCTAAGAGAAGTATGTTTGAAAATAAACTAAGAAATGTTATCAGTGATCTTTATGATATAGCTTATCTTTTTATTTCTCAAGCATTTTAAGTAAAATTATAAATAACATTAATTATATTCTTACTATCATAAAGATTCGCTGTGATCTTTCTTCGTTTCTGAATTATTTAATATTATAGAAATTATTCTTATTTATTATTTATTGGTTGTATAATTATTTCTATCATTCAAATAATTCCATTATATTCGAATGAGTAGCTAGCTATTGAAATGAATGGAAAGTTTGCACGAATTTTCAGTCACACGATTGCGCTGTACTTGAAAATGAAAACATCCTGACTTCCTCGGGATATTCCTTTCGTTAAAACAGTACGCTATTGTGAAATATTCGACGAGAAAATTCGAAAAGCCCCGAGACTAACAGATCGTCGGAGAATGTGATAAACGATCGGAATCGATCGAGTACCTTGTGTAAAGAAGCGATTTAGAAGCGATTAAGTATACTTGAACCCTTTCTCCCCCAATCCTAAACCATCCTATTGTCCATCCCTTCGTTATCCATGCCACCCTTTGTATTTATATTATAATTGCGAACGGAAAGCAACGTTCGGTTACTCACCCAAGTTTGCGAGGATTACTTTTAGTATTTATTCGTAATGTATAATGTTATATTTAATTGTTATTCGTCACCATTGCCGATGTAATTAATAATAATTGTTCATAATAAATCGGCATTGGTGCCGATTATTCATGCGACTGGTCATTAAGAGACTAGAAAACGAAACGAAGAAATGCCACGCGTGGTTGGTGTCGCGAGACGTAACAAAATATAGGTGCAAAAACAACAGCATAATTCACCAACAACGCGTCGCATACTTCGACGTTATATTGTAAGACATTTTGCCAATTAAATTATTGCATATAATATAATATACGGAGTTTTTATTCGATGAAGAGATCCCTTTTTACCTATAGTAGGTTTCGTAATGTGTATTTTATTTTAGACTCGAATCAAGTAGCAAAGAATGAGCAAATAAAGGCAATATGAGATGCGCATATGAACTGTTTTATTGAAATAGAATTTTAAAAGAAAACTTTTTATTAAATTCAATACTTCAATTCGATCCAATACTAATACCGAAAGAGTGGAAGAAACCATCCGAAAATTAAGTCGTAAAAAATCAATATGGAAGACAACAAGATTCATTGTGTTCCATGTTGTTTTCCTTAATGAATGTCAAGACTTGTTATATGAATGTAGAAATTATGTTTATAGTACTAATTATAGTTCCAATTCTAACCACCATGAATGTCGTCATTTTATTCTACATTGAGTCGGTAACGTTGGAAGTGACACAAAAATGGTAAGTTCGTCTATGGCTAGAAAGCGCGCGAAATAAAAGACACAAAAATACAGTAGATTCATCTGACATTAAATCTATCTAACACTTCTGTTACGTCGCGTGATTGGAACCGTGCGACGTCCCTCGGTATTGGGTCGCTAAGGGTGGGTCCGCTGACGGTTATGTACACCCTCAACAAACCCCGCCTCAAGGCCCCGCCTAAACTGAACCTTATTAGCTTGCAGAAACCGTTAATCCTGCAAGTATTTTCGGTTTATAGCCGGTACTTAAAAGGTCCTTAGGTTTATTGTGCGTTCTTAGAAATTACGGAGCAGCTGACCGGATATTTACCTAATGGAAATGTCTGGATTTTCCCCGGATTCTCTAATATTTACTAACTTGTTACTAACTTGTATTGTATTGTATTGTAACACTGTTAATCGCAGCGTTATTCCGCACATCCTTGCATATTTAAATTTTTAATTATATTAATATACAAATATTATATAATATGTATTCGAAAATTGACTTACTGATGCGGGGTGCTACATCGCGGTATTTCATCGATGTCTTCTCCATATCTTGTTACACTGATTTACTATAAAACTGCTATAATTCTGAAACTACTATTATAATAGTACTCACTGAAGTATAATTTAAATTCACAAATACGATAACGATAAATTTAATAAACAATAAAACCGACGCGGCGCGCTCTCTTACACAAAGGTAATACAGAAACCGGAAGCAACCCTTCTTTATCGATAGCTCAGTATTCATCAAGATATCTCGAAATAACATAATCGAAGGTATATAAAATGGCGACTCAATAAAGAGTTCATATATTCGTGTAGTTTTTTTGTGCAGTGCATATCTATAGTTTTTCTTAACAACAATTTATAAATCATTATCATGGGGTAAGTCGGAAATATCAATGAATATTTTTACGCAATCAGGAGAAACATTTTCTTTTGATAAATTGAAGGATGTATAAGTCTGTTTACATCGTATGTGCTTATTCGATATTCTGTTTATTCTCGGAATAAATTTAATGTGTTTTTAACGTATTCTTTTTTTGGTATTGCGTACAACAATTGGATAAATACGAAAGAAAATATTTCTTCTTACTATGTGATTTTTAATGTAGATCTATCGAAAAAAATAACCTATTTCTTATGTCTCGTTACATTTATATTTCGCAACAAAGTCCACTTAACATTATCCGTTTGAAATAAGATAAATATTACATGTGACTGTAGCGGTGATGTAATTTTTAGAATAGAGATATTAATTTGTCACCTGTAAGATTTTATGTGTATATATTTTATTTGTTAACGTATATGAAACATTTTGAGTAGAGTTTCATATTCATTAGCAATATATTAATCTATGAATTATACACATGTATTAATATACATATAATATTTTAATATATCAATGTTAATATGCATATAACCATTTGTTATATAATAATTATTTGTTTAATTACATTTTAGTACATCAGATTTAGAATGTATAGAGTCTAAAAGAGACATGGTGACTATAGATTCTGAATCGGATATGTTGGTTGACCAAAGAAAGAAAAAGAAAAGAAAGCATAAACATCACAAACATAAGAAAGATAAATTAATTGAAAGGGAAGATGGGAGGATAGAACGTCAAGAACGGTATGTACAATATGTATATATGTTTTTTAATAATCAATTTATTAATACTATTTGATTCCACATTTACGTTGTCATTAAATACATTTTAGAAAAAAACACAAGAAACATAAAAGACCTAAAAAAGAAAGAGAAGTTGAAAATGGATCATTAGATGACAAAACACCACGTGTAATTCAAAAAGATTTAGGTGTCAATGGCAAAGTAAAAAATTCTTTACTAGAAGTGGTTTCTACTGAAGAAAGTGACGATGAGAAGTTGGTAGATTTAGATTCGGACGAAGTAGATTGTACAATCATCGAAGATGATATTGATCTGGAAGAATTAATGAAACAAAAGGTATAATTCTCCATCCAGGATTTAATAAAAAGTACATAAATATTTATATATTTTTAATATTTATACAGGAGCGTTTGCAAGCATGTTTAGTACAGTACCTTTCGGATGAATCTGAGAAGGAGGATAAGGAACCAAATCAAGATGAAATAAAAGCTACTGAAACACCTGATGTTATACTTGTAGAGGATGATAGTGAAAGTGACAATATACCCCCCAAAAAACGTGCTAGGAGTAAGTCTGGTAGTAGAGAACGCAAAAAAGTCATGAAACCTGAGAGGCGTGTAGTAGTAGATATGAGCAGGGATCGTAGAAATCGAGAGGAACATAAAGATAAACGAAGGGAAATAGAAAGGAGACGGGAGGAAAAAGTTCGTACTAAAGAGGAAACTAAGAGAGATGATAATAGAAAAGATGACAGACAAGTGCGAAAACCAAGCGATAGACATAGGGAGGATTCACGAAAAGAAGATAACAAAAGACGAATAGAAGATGATAAGCGTAAAGATTCTATCAAAAGAGACGAGTCGCGTAAAAGAGAACAAGATAGAAGGTGTGTTAAATGTAGAACATTTAAATATAATATCTCTTTTATTAAATACTTTTTTATTAATAAATTTTAATAAACATGTGTTTACAGAGAAGAAGAGCGAAAACGAGAAGCCGATCACCATAATTCTAGATCTCGTAATGAATACAAATCATTAGATAAGACCGATAAATCTAGACGCGACAGTCGCGATAGATTAGCAAGTCGAGAACGACAAAGTAGTCGCGATCGGCATGTAAGCCGCGATAGACATGTTAGTAAGGACCGCAACGTTAGTCGAGATCGACATGCCAGTAGAGATCGACATATCAGTCGAGACAGACACGCTAGTCGTGATCGTCATACCAGTAAAGATCGTCCGCCTAGTCGCGATCAACGTAGTCGAGACAGACCTGCCAGCAGAGATCGGCATAGTCGTGATAAAAGAGACAGTAGAGAACGCCATACTAGTCGCGATCGACCCAGAGATGGTAGAAGTAGTCGTGATCGTAACGACATGCGGGAACGACGAGATAGTCGGAACCGCGATAGAATTAGAGAGCGATCAAGAAGTACAAGAAGATCTCGTAGTCCTATTAGGAGTAGATTGGATAGAGATCGGAATGATCGTTATAAACGCTCTAGATCGCTCTCTCGAAGTAGACGAGACAGAGACAAACATACTAGAGATCATGATAGGGAGAGAGAAAAAAATGGTAAAAGAGAACGTAGTGATAAATTCAAAGATTCTTTGTCAGAAGGATTGAAAGTAGAACATTCAGAAACTTCAAGTGAAGAAGATATCAAAGACATAGATATCGAAGAAGAGGAAGATGAAGAAGCTATTATTGAACGTAGAAGGAAACAAAGAGAGGAACTTTTAAAGGTTTGTTAGTTTTATTTCTATTTAATTATGTTTCTTTAATACTGTGAAATAATAATTGTAAGTTTTTTTTCTTGTCCAGAGGTTAAGCGGACCAAATGAAGATTCAAATATGTCTGCTGAAATTAATACTGTTCCCGCAACTCCACCTTCTGAAAGTCAATCAAATGTATCACAGAAGTCAATAGAAGTTTCGTCTAATAATAACGAATCCACTTCGGAGAGTCATACCCCACCATTGCCTGAGAAACCAAAATCGCCACAAGTTAAAAAGAGAAAATCTAGATTCGAAGACGCTCCATCTGAAGAGACAGATAAAAATGAAGATACAAAACCGACAGAAAAAATTAAACAGGAAGAAAAACAAAACGCAAAAAAGTCAAACGAATGGGACATGTTCGCCGAAGCAGACAACATTGGTGATTTTAATGTACGTAAGTTTTTCTCTTCTTTTGTTTAGTTTTTATATCTATTTTATCTATTAAATATTAGTACCTTTTGTTATAGAGCCCCACAGTCGAAGGAAAACGACAAGGTGGACCAGATAATCCAAGTTTAACAGACAATTGGGATGATGCAGAAGGATATTATCGGTAAATTGTTTTTTTTTTTCTTTTTCGTCCTTAATGTTAAAACATCTTGTTTTTTATTTTTAGAGTACGTGTGGGCGAGACGTTAGATTCCCGATATGTTGTTTATGGATATACTGGTCAGGGTGTATTTAGTAATGTCGTAAGGGCTAGAGATACTGCTAGAGGCAATTTAGATGTTGCTGTAAAAATAATAAGGAATAATGAAATAATGTAAGTCAACAATGAAATAACGTAATGTAACAATATATCTGATAATTTTACGATATTGAAAGTGAGCAATGTACAGAATTTTTTTATTCTTTTAGGCACAAAACTGGCCTTAAAGAATTAGAAATACTTAGAAAACTGAATGATGCAGATCCAGAAGATAGATTTCATTGTCTACGACTTTTTAGGCATTTCTTTCATAAAAATCATTTATGTATGGTTTTTGAACCATTGGCTATGAATTTAAGAGAGGCAAGTATATATTACATATATTTTATACTAATTAATTACATATTATCGTTTATTATATAAGAAAATTTATTTAGGTTTTAAAAAAATATGGAAAAGACGTTGGTTTACATGTTAAAGCGGTAA